TTCTTCTGACTCAGGGTGCCTGATGATTCCCGCCTCTGAAAAGACAACTTACAAAAAGTGTGACCTTCTGAGAAAAAGCACATAATGAATGAAAAAACTCCAAAGGAGTCTAACATAGATTTTTGAGTGAATATAGTAACTCTAAAAAATTTAGTCAAAGCAATTGGGATTTTTCTGCATTTTAAAATATGCTCAAAATAATATCAGTTATTAAATTCAGTTTATTGGGGTGCCTGGGCAGCTCAGTCGGTTGAGTGTCTGACTCTTGATCTGGGCTCAGGTCTTGATCTCTCAGGGTTGTAAGTTCAAGCCCTGCGTTGGGTGTGGAGCCTACTTAAAAATAAATAAATTCAGTTTACTAATTCAGTTATTAAAAACTAAAGAATAACTTATAGTGATAGAACTTGAGAGTCCTTATTACTTTGTTTCATTTTGTTCAACTACTCATCAACTGATATATTTCCAGTCTCTGACAGTGCTATGTACTGAATTGTGTCCCTCAAAATTCATAGGCTGAAGCCCTAACCCCCAACATGACTGCATTTGGAGTTAAAGCCTTTAGGAAGGTAATTAAGGTTAAATTGATGAAGGATAGTTGGAAGGCGGGCAGGCAGGTACAAGGGGCCCCTACCCTAGGAGGAAACCACCTGTAAAAGGATTTTACACCTGGAAGGAGCCCTCCACCCTTTCCCGTATGATAAATAGGTGACAAAAATCTGATCGGATGACACGTGCAGGGAAGGTTAATCAGATTAAAACACTGGGCCAACAAGCCCATAAAAACCCCTAGACTTAGAAACTCTGGTGGCAACCCCCTCTCTCCTTGGGAACTTTGTACTATCACTTTGCTATCGTTCAATAAACCTTGCTTTGCTATCCACCACTGTCTGGTCTACCTCTTCATTCTTTGAAGCGGCATGACCAAGAACTGTGGGTACCCACCCAGGAAAAAAATCCTGTAACAAAATGAGGTCATAAAGGTAGTGCCCTAATCCAAAAAGACTGGTGGCCTTACAAGAAAAAGAGAGGACGCCTGGCTGGCTCAGTTGATAGAGCATGTGACTCTTGATCTTGGGGTTGTGAATTTGAGGCCCATGTTGGGCATACAGATTAGTTGAAAAAAAAAAAAAAAGAGATTTCTCTTGCCCTCCAGCTTGCAAGTGTGCTCTTTTAATGTGGCTTTGCTTCAGACAGGGAATGTTAATAGAGAAACTAACCGAACTGCTGGGCAAACAGTAGCACTAAGCAGAAAGTCTCAATAGTAGAAAAACTACAATGTCTCCTATGTTTATTGGGCACCTTCTCCTCAACTTCTATTTTGAGGTTGCTCCAATCTTAAGAGAAAAAGAAAACTCCTATGGTGCTTTATCCCATTGTTTTTCACAGGTCTCCTGCCTTCTAGTCCCATTAATCCCATTAATCAGTGCAATCTGATTTCCTCCACCGACCACGCCTACCTGCGACTATTCACAATGAGCTGAAGAGCCCCCTTCTGTCAAATTCAAAGGATTCAGTCCCCACCTTGATCTCTTGGGTGCATTCATCACTGCTACACCCTTCTAGAAACTTTCTGTCCCCTTACTTCTAAGACACCAATCTCTCCTTGTTCTCTGACTAGGTCTCATGTCTCTCTCCCTTCTACCAATCCTTAAAGGTACACATTTCACAGGGATTTTTCTTTCTTTCTTTCTTTTTTAATTTATTTGTCAGAGAGAGAGCACAAGCAGGGAGAACTGCAGGCAGAGGGAGAAGCAAGCTCCCCGCTGAGCAGGGAGCCTGATACGGGACTCGATCCCAGGACCCTGGGATCATGACCTGAGCTGAAGGCAGACACTTCACCGACTGAGCCACCCAGGTGTCCCATTTTTTTTCTTAAAGATTTATTTATTTATTTGAGAGAGCGAGAATGAGAGAGAGAGAGTGCATGAGAGGGGGGAGGGTCAGAGGGAGAAGCAGGCTCCTTGCTGAGCAGGGAGCCCGATGAGGGACTCGATCCCGGGACTCCAGGATCATGACCTGAGCCAAAGGCAGTTGCTTAACCAACTGAGCCACCCAGGCGCCCACCAGGTGTCCCATTTCACAGGGATTTCATCCTTAGTGCTTTTCTTATCTCACTCAAAAGTCTTTTTGTGGGTGACCTCACTATCCATGGCTTCAACTCTGGAGCTCTTAAGAGTGTTTGGCCCTGACCCTGCTATGAACTCCAAGTCCATAGTTTTTATTTGTCTACAAAGTGACTCCACCTGGGTTTTCCATGAGCACATCACAATTAACATGTTCTGACCTTAACTCAGTGTTAAGAGCAGCATTTCCACCTGTTTCCCTTATTTGGTACTGTTATCCACCAGTCACCCAAGTCATACCTAGACTCTGTCCTCTCCTCCCTCAACCTTTAGATTTAATCTGTCACTCCACGTCATACCTAGACTCTGTCCTCTCCTCCCTCGACCTTTAGATTTAATCTGTCACTCAACCCTGTGGTTTCTGTCTCCTTCATAGTTCTTAAACCCTACTCTTTTCCACCATCACTGCCCCCAATTTATTTGCTGAGGAGGAGAGATGTACATCAGAATTCACCTATGTGGTTAAATAAATAAATAAATACGCATTCTTGCCCTGCCCCTCCTCCTGAGATTCCCAACCAGCATATGCTCTTCCTTACCTGCCCTGTTCTGCTTCTTCCCCAGCCTCCAGTCCATCTTCCGCACTGCTGACAGAATGATCTCTCAAAAATGAAACCTTAATAGTGCAAACTATCTGCTTATTTTTTCAGAGGTTCTTCAGAACCTTTCTTTGCCGTGCTGTTCTCAGTGGATATCACCCCTCATCCCTTCCTGCTTAGAAGTCACCCTGTTCCAAAAGCCTCTCCTGTCTTCACCAGACAATTAGGCATTTTCTGTGTTTCCACAGTATCTTGTTCATATCATGATTCTATATTTATTATCAGATAATTATATGTGTTTATACAATGTCTTACCCACTAGCCTGTGAACAGACTGTTCAGTTCATTATTGTATGCCCTAATGTAGAGCCTGGCACATAATACGTACTCAATAAATGTTTACTGAATGAATTTTTGAAGTAAGTTTTTTTTATTATGTTATGTTAATCACCATACATTACATCATTAGTTTTTGATGTAGTGTTCCATGATTCATTGTTTGCGTATAACCCAGTGCTCCATGCAGTACGTGCCCTCTTTAATACCCATCACCAGGCTAACCCATCCCCCCACCCCCAAAGTTTTATGTTTTTCTGATTGCTTAAAGTATACAGTGTTTAATATGTCATAAAAATACTACTACTGACCCATTCTCAGGATAGAATTGTCCTTTGAAATCCTTTTAATGATGACAGTTTATATTTGAACAGTACTTTTAATTTTTCAAAGCACTTATCCCCCAACACTTTATTATGAGTATTTCCTTACATAGGGGGAAAAAAGGTGAACACCCACATACCCATCACCTAAATTCTAATTCGACATTTTGGTATCTTTGCAAAACACTTTTTATGAGCTAATTTTATTATCACCCTTTATTTCATGTAATGACTAAAGTATGATTCTATGTTTTATAAATAAGGAACCTGAGACCAAGAGAGCTTAATGACTTGTTAAGGAGATTATCTCCTGGAGTTGTGATCAGCTTGTGCCAGCTGACTCATCCATACCCTCTGGGTATTGGATATATAACCAGGGTCTGAAAAATATTTTGAATATCCTTGCTAATGAAAAGCTTCCAATTCCACAAGATAAGAGAAGCAGCAAAATTATGGGAAACCCACCAAGAAAACATTTCTAGCTCATAAGTCATCCAAAGAGGATTCCAGTCTTGGGTCGCCCTCCCCCTCACTCCACTTTCATTCCTGGTTAGTCATTTCCTACCGGATGGGAGATGTTTCTTCCATCCATTCTTTTCCAGTACCAGATACAGATCTAGAATATCTTTCATCTCAGCTGGTCTACTCTCTCCTGCCTTTTCATTTGCCAGAGGCACATGACCTCCAATTAAAACACGACCCTAGTCATCTTTGTGTAGCTCACAAAACTTTAACAAATCACATTTCCTACCAAATTAAGTCTGGTATAATCTCTGCCATCCACACTATAACCTAAGTATCTGTCTTCTTACTCCTTAGCTTCCATCCTACATAACTAAGAGTTGTTGGTTTTCCAAACATGCCCAGGGTTTTCTTATTTCCTTTCTTCCTGTATAAATCACCACCACTCCCCTCCCAAATTCCACGTGTTAAATTCTAGACCTCCTACTCATGGCCCAACTCAAATGCCAATTCCAATAAACCTTCAAGAATCCTCAAGCCTGGGTTGTTTTTTTTTTCTCTAAACATTTATTTTATTTCAAATTTTATCTTTTTTTTTTTTTGGATGTTGTGGCACTTAGTTTAATCTGCCTTGTAGATCTTTATGGTCTGATTTCTCTTGCTACCTTCTGCCCCCTTTGCCTGAGTATAACACCACTGAAGAAAGGGACAGTGTCATATCCATCATGGCCCTCGCACACAGTCGGTGCTTTATATGCTTAATTTCATTTAACGCAACATATATTCCCGAAGGGATGGGGGCGGATGCCCTTTTCTGTATTCACACTTACACTCACACGCACACACGGATTCGGTCTTCCACCTGGACACACACGTGTCCCCAGGGCCACAGCCCTGAACGGTCTCGGGACTCTCAGCCTGTGGGCGCTTCCATTCCAGCCAGCGGAAGGGGAGGCTCCATTTCTTTAAAACCCTCTAACAGATACTTGCTACCTTAGACCTCCTACAGCCTCCACCCTACAAAAAACTTAGTATCTCCTTCCTGTCGAAGTAGTATCACCCGGAGTCCGGGAACCCCAGCCTGGTCGCGCCAGGGTCCGGTCCCAGGGATCCCCCCTCCTGGTCTCGCTTGGTCGCGCCCGCTTTGTCAGCGCGCTGCGCTCGCCGGTTACCCTCCAGCTTTCGCCAACCCCCGGCAGACAGCGCCGCTGCTACCACAGCTGCTGTTGCTCCCGCGTCTCCCCCTCGGACTCGTCTGCCCAAGACTGCCCCTAGGCTTCGGCCGGGCGACGAGGACCCTGAGAGCATCTGCTCGGACGGCCCCCGAGTTTGTTCGGTTCGCCGGCTTCGACCTCGGCCCGGCTCCGTTCCTCCGGCGCGTGAGGGGCCTCGGCGTTTGTGGCGGCGGCACCCGGCATGTATCAGAGCCCGCGGCGGCTCTGCTCCGCCCTGCTGCAGAGAGACGCGTCCGGCCTGCGCCGCCTGACCACCCCCGGGCTGCGCCGCCAGTCGCCTCCGCCCGCGGCCGCCCCCCGGCCCGCGTCCCCCAGGCTCCTGGCGGCGGCCTCAGCGGCGTCGGGCGCCGCGAGGTCGTGTTCCCGAACAGGTGAGTGCACGGTGCCGGGCGGAGAACGACGCGACCGCCCGCGCGCGGCCGCCACCTGGAGACGGCGCGGAATGAATGGGAAGTCCCGGGCAGCTGGGGTGTGGGGTCGGGCCGGGAAGCGGGTCCTCCTCCTCCTCCTCCTCCTCCTTCTTCCGCTTTCCCCTTCCCCTACCTATCCTGGGGCTTAGCATCACGTCCAGTAAAAACTGGAACACTCTTCAGGGTCCCGTTTGATCCCTGGATGCGGTGCCTTCGGCATTTCTCGTTCCTGACTTAACGCTAAACCTGCCCCTTCCAAGGCCGCAAATTAACTTGTGTCTGTTTTATGGAAATTTTGTATAAAAAAAAAGTCACCTAAAATGATATTTTTTGATCACGTAGCTTTTGTATGATTTAGATGTTACGATTTTTTTTTAAGTCATGTTAATCGTATAGTAACACACATTGACTTGTTTTACATTTATTTGGATTTTTTTCGGAGCCTTCCGCTCTTACTACTTCGTCAATCTGTGTCCTGTATACCTGGGTTAAGATCTTTTATAGGTGATGCCTTTCGCTTGTCAAGAGCCAATTTTATACATCACATACCCTGGACTTTTCCCTTTTTTGCTACCTCCGTTTCTGCCTGAGGACACATTACCGTGTCCACAAATTACTAGAAATTAATGATACTTTTTAAAATGAAGGTTCTCTTTCAAAACTGGCAATTCATCACACTAAAAGTGCATTTTGGCTGTGCTCAAGTTAGGTTATTGCTGTTCAAGACATTCGTCTAACCATCCTACATTATAAATGACTACATTTTGTTAAGAAAGTTTTGGATTAATTTAATTAGGACAAATTGAGCAGTAGAAATAACAATGTGGCTTTCTTTTATTAATGAAAGTGACAATCTAAAAGTGATTGAGTTGGAACTAAGACTTTAAACTCTTCTCAGATTATTATTGGTGGGTGGTTAGGCTAAGACATACTTTTAAAAATAGGGTGGCTCACCTGGTTAGACTCTAAACTCCATATTCTTTTTTTTTTTAAGATTTATTTATTTATTTCCTTATTTGACACAGACACAGCGAGAGAGGGAACACAAGCAGGGGGAGCGGGGGAGGGAGAAGCAGGCTTCCCGCTGAGCGGGAGCCCGATGTGGGACTCGATCCCAGGACCCCTGGGACCATGACCTGAGCGGAAGGCAGACGCTTAATGAATGAGCCACCCAGGCGCCCCTAAACTCCATATTCTTTAGAAAGGGTGGACTTGACAGTCCTATTCAGATTTTTTGGCTTTTTGGTTTTTATTCTGCGATGAACACATTCATTACATGAAATTACATTCACTGATCCTATTCCCAGGATTTCTTTTCTTCCCCCTGCCGCAGCTTTATAGGAAGGTGGCACATTGTGAAATAGCTGTTAGAATGGGTGCCACCTAGTAACTGTTAGTGTTCTTTCTTGCTGGAAATTTTCAACAGGTCGCTGTTAGGTTTGACGTGGGAGAAGTAAAAAAGAAAACCAGTTGGTGTCTCCTGTACCAGCTCGTATCTCAAGAGTCCCTCAGGCCAAGGTAGTCAGTAGGTACATCTTGGGAATATAGATAGCTTGTATAACACAGATGGCGGATAACTGCTGAGGAAAGAAGGTCAAGTTAGATAGAGCATTTGGAATGTTAGGCTTTTGACACAGAAAGGTGTTTAATGAACTTTTTAAAAGTCTCTGAAAACCCTAGTTTTACAAATAAAGAAATTGAAAGACTTATGGTACTTAAACTTAGTTACTACAAAATCTAGGCAATTTTCCTTTTTCCTGCAGTTTTAGCTTCAGCTGCTTGTTAGAAGAAACATGTGAATACGTTCATTTGCTTGTTGCTTGATCTTCATTGAAGAAGTTTTTGCAGAATGCCTCACACACTGTAGGTGCTTTATTATAGGAGGTAAAAGAATGTGAGCCTTCAGGGGCGCCTGGGGGGCTCAGTCGTTTAGCGTCTGCCTTCGGCTCAGGTCCTGATCCCAGGGTCCTGGGATCGAGCCCCACATCGGGCTCCCTGCTCAGCAGGAAGCCTGCTTCTCCCTCTCCCACTCCCCCTGCTTGTGTTCCCTCTCTCACTGTGTCTCTCTGTCAAATAAATAAATAAAATCTTAAAAAAAAAAAAGAATGTGAGCCTTAGTCTGCCTTTACAAAGTCTACTCCCTAACAAGAGAGAAGAGCTTGCACAAGAAAAAAATAACTGTTTAATGAAATGAAACACCTTTTCTTCTCTTAAAGTTTGCACATGGCACAAGGGTGCTGGAGATTGGGAAGTCCCTTTCAGCAAAGGTGATCTTTTTAGCCTTCAAGAAATGGTTGATATTTGAGCTCAGCCTTGAAACATGGTTAGGATTGAAAGAAATTAAAACATTTTATTTGGGAAAAGGCAGGAGCAGAAAGGGAAAAGCATGAAGCATGGATGCAGCAGGGTGAGAGAAGAAACTGTAAAATGTTTTCCAAAGACCCTCAGAACCAGCATTAGGTGCTTTTAAAAATGCAGATTAATGGATCCTGCTATAGACCTATTAATAGACTTGTTATTGGTGGGCTCCAGATTTCAGATTATTCTTAATATGTCCCAAAGTTTAGACATCTGGCAAGAGACGTCATCAGGTAGCTGAAAGCTACTCTTCCCTCCAAGAGAGTCTGTTGTTGAGAGGCTGGGAGTAGGTAATGAGTCCCGACCCTTGACTGCATTTGATAATCATTTCCTTCCTGACTTATGCCCCTCGGCAATCAAAGATTACTGGAAAGATGAGTGCAGTCATCAAATCCTAGGTTATTAGAATTTAAAGGGGAACTTGGAGACAATCTCAGTGTTTTGTTATCTTCTCTCACACAAGGACAGCACCCCCATAAAGAAGCAGCAATTGCCACAGTTACTGTACTAGATGAAATGCACTCGGGAGTCATCGGTGGGGGTTTTTTTGTTTTTAAAGATTTTATTTATTTATTTGACAGAGACAGCGAGAGCAGGAACTCAAAACAGCGGGAGCGGGAGAGGGAGAAGCAGGCCTGCTTCTCCCCCGAGCAGGGAGCCTGATGTAGGACTTGATCCCAGGACCCTGGGATCACGACCTGAGCCGAAGGCAGACGCTTAACATCTGAGCCACCCAGGCGCCCTCATCTGTGGGTTTTTAAGTGCTGTGTTCCAGATCCCTCCTCCTCATATAATTAAGAGTGGGCTGAATTACTGTTCACCACCACTGGAACATGTTGCTTTATTCTTGGTACAATTTTAAAAGCAAATACCAGCTAATTTCGGGAGGCGGCTTTATTTAGTATGTCCCTTAACTCTGTGAGTAAGCTGTTTATGAGAGAAGAAATGGGAAAGCTTGTAATTATCAAGTTTCTACAGAATAAATTGCTTTCCTTGTGGGAGAACTAAGGTATCATTTTCCTGTAGCATTCAGTGCTAAGAGTTTAAGTAGTAAGCTATTGGGGGCGTTTGAGTTAATAACCATGGCTTCAGAATCACATTCAACACACTTAAAATATATGAACATTTGTAAATCATTTAATCTTGCTTGATGTCTCAACACTGGACTTTACCTAGAAAAAAAAATTTATATCATTCAATCCACAAGTTTTATTGAAGACAGTGCACTTAAAAAGTCAAATATTGTATCACATGACTAAGTGCGGCAGGAATTGAGAAGAAAGAGAAATCAGTGTGGCTGGATTCATTGGAAAACACTGCTTTGAATAGGTAAAAGGTGGGTACATCCATGGAAGGGAGCACGGTGGATGACAGGCAGGGAGAGACCATGTGAGAAGGTGGCAGGTATGGGAGCAGTGATGAACACCATTAGAAAAAGAGGTACTTCCAGAATCTGGGACGCTTGTTAAAATACAGGTTTCTTGTCTTTCACCTATGTACTTCAATCAGTTACTTCCAGGAGAAGCCTGGTTAAGTTGTATATTTAACAAGTGCCCCAGGTGATTCTTCCTGAAAAACTTGGAGTATTTTACAAGTTCCACTCCTCTTTCCAAAGATACTTATTTCTGGGAAGTTTGGGAGAGGATTCTGGAAGAGTGTTAAAGTCTTTGAGCTTGGGCCCCAATGCAGTTTAGGAGGCCTCTGAGCAAGAACATTTACCTGAACAAAAGCAGGCTTTATGAAAGGGAAGGAGTTGGTGTTCAGTGAGGAAAACTTGAGACTGACATTGTACTGGGTGTGGATCAGTGTAGTTGTACAACTTTGGGAGTGGGTAGGTGGGTAAATATAATACCACGTAGGTTTCAATGATGTCTACTAATGAAGATGTGAGGCAGTTATTTTCTGATTTCTTGGAGGCGGAGGAAGTGAGGAAGCATCTGTATTTGCTTAAATTCTAATCAGGATTTATATACTTGAATAAATACTGAGAAACTCAAAGATGATGTGCACGGGTATTTGGCTTCATACTAAACTCACTTGTACTTTCATGAAAAGCAGTTAAAACATTTTGGATTTATTGTTAGAATAGGCAAAAACCAGGGCGCCTGGGTAGCTCAGTCAGTTAAGCGTCTGACTCTTGGTTTCGGCTCAGGTCATGATCTCAGAGACATATGATTGAACCCCCCCCCCCCCCACATTGGACTCCTCGCTCAGCATGGGTTCTGCTTGAGATTCTCTGCCTCTCCCTCTGCCCCTCCCTCCCACTTGCTAGCTTGTAACCATTCCTCTCTTTCTCTAAAATAAATAAATCTTAAAAAAAAAAGAATAGGCAAAACCAGTCTTCCCACAGGAAGGAGTAAGACCTCAAGTGGATAATTTTAGTTGTCCGCTTGTCTCCACGTGGTGTCAAAGCAACACTTAACATACTGGTTACCATGAGTTCTGTGTCAGGGATGTGGGCAGGAGTGCTCGGGAAAGAGGGATAAAGAAAATTATTACTGTCATATTTGAATGCCCCCCCCCAAAAATACTTTTTTTTCCATCCAGTATCAACAAATGCCTGGGCCCACTCAGATCTTCTGAATTTTAACATGGGGACTGAG